GCTTGAGTTGTGTCTGATTCTTCGTGACCCCCTAGACTGTGGCTCACCAGGCTTCTCTGTCCATGAGATTTCCCAGGCAAGAATACTGGAGTAAGGTTGCCATTTCCTTCTCAACAGGATCCTCCTGACCGCATGACTGATGAATCTGTATTTCTTGCATTGGCAGATGGATTCTTTACCACTGAGCCACCAGGGAAACCCATACACTATTGATACTATGTATTAAAATAGATAACTAATCCAAAACTACTGTATAGCATAGGGAACTCTACTCAGGGATCTGTGTGACTTAAATGGGGAAGAAATCCAAAAAAGAGGCGATATATGCATACGTATAGCTGATTCATTTTGCTGCATAGCAGAAACAAACACAACACTGAAAAACAACTATACGCCAATAAAAATTATTACTAACTTAAAAAAATAAAATATATGACAACAAAAACACAATACAAGAGAAGGACAAATATGTTTAAAGTCGTTTAAGGCTGTTGTGTTGTCCGGAAAATAATAAAAAGTACACATTTATAAAATAGTTCATAATTTAACTGTGTGTTGTAATCTCTGGGGTATCCATGAAAAGTAAAGTAAAAAAAATGTGTACCTAAGAAGTTAATGAGAGGAAAAGTAGAATAATAAAAACACCTTATTAACAAGAAAGGGGGAAGAGAACAGATAAGACAAATATAAAAAATAATAAGATGGTACATTTAAACCCAAATATATGAGTAAAGAAAGCATTTTTAAATTACATTAAAAAATGTTACCACACTGAAATTTTCTAAACAACAAAACTGTTAGAATAGATTTTTTTAAAATCTTCAATATGTTTACTTACAAAAGGCTTTCTTTATAAGCCAGAGGGAAAAGAAAAAGTAAAAGGATGGAAAAAGACAACATACAATTTGGAAGGTTGTATTAGGCTTTTGTTTTGTTTTATAAGGAGTTCTAGCAAAGTCCCAGTAATTTCCAACTACTGTCCTTTGCTGCCTCTCTCAAAGTTCATGCCTGGGAAGGAAAGAATAGAGATGATTCTGGAAGGCTGGGGTCCCTTTTGATATTGAACTTGAAAGAAAAGCATACTGAGAAACTCAAGCCACACTTCAGAGAAGGAAAGAGTCAGGCAGGTGAATGAATAAATAAACCATGATACATCCAGACAATGAAACAGCACTAAAAACAAATCTACTATCAAGTCATAAACAGACATGGAGGAAGCTTAAATGCAGATGACAAAGTGAAAGAAGTCAATCTGAAAAGACAAAACACTCCATGATTCCAACTACATGACATTCTGAAAAAGGTGAAACTGTAAGAGACACTGAAAAAGGTTAGTGGTTGATGGGAGGGAGGTGTGGGTAGTGGGGAAGAGAGAAATGGGTAAACCACAGAGAATTTTTTGGCCAGTTAAAATATTCTGTATTTAATGGACATGCATCATTTACCCAAACCCACAGGACACGAACAGCACCAAAAGTGAACTCTAAGGTAAACTATATGGACTTTGGATGATTATGATATGTCATTATAGGTTCCCTCTTGGTAAAAACTCTTTTGACTTATACCCCTGATACCTCTCTTTTGACTGATACCGATGATGGTGAATGAGGGGGAGGCGGTGCATGTAACTTCCCTCTCAATTTTGTTTTAAACCTAAAACTGCTCTAAAAAATGGTCTTTAAAAAGATTCAAAGAACAGTACACCATAAAGTAAATTGTACTTATAATTTGTTAATGCATAATTTTGTTTTAAAGTCAGACTCTGGATGTGTTTAATACAAAAATGGCTAATAGACCACCAAGGTTAATAATGGACCAGCTGCTCCTGACAGAGGTAACCAAAAGGAACACCAGGACCAATCCTCTGAGTGGAACATACACAGGTGTTCTCAAGCTCGTAAACAGGAAAAAAACATTAACCATTTTAAACACGACACACAGAGTCATTTTTACACATTAAGAGCCCATTAACTCCTGGGGCAAACTCTCAAATCGCCAGCAGTACCACCATACACACAGAATATAAATCCACCAGAAAATGGAAAAACTAACTCTCAATTAGGCCGCCTGTGTTCTCTGATTCTCTTGTTTGACTCCACAAATCTCAGAGATAAACTAGGAACAGGCTGCGCCATTAATAAGAGCTGGCAACCACAAATCCATGCTCACTGGCTATTAAAATTAGAATCAGAGCTGGGCCCACAACACTGCCAGACAATGATGGACATAATTAAAACATGGAACAAGAAGCTTCGGCCTTCTCAGCCTCCATCCTAAAATGCAGTCCACACTAGAACCAAGGAGAAAGCTACAGAATGCTTTGGTGCTACTGTCTCTTAAAAAATAAACAATAAAAAATAGATATTAGAATATTTTTTATATATGGAAGAGATATGAACAAGGAAAAAACTACTCGCCCTGACATGCAGTCTCCTCCATGGAGTCTGCATCTTTGGGCCCACCTTTCCCAGGACCTAGGACAGAGCCTGGAACAAAGCAAGTGCTCCATTGATGGAACTCAATGGAACCATCAAAGAAACATACCAAGGTCACTTGCCAAGGTCACTCGGTGTAGACGATACTCCACTACCATCATTACCACCCCCAAAAAGAAAGTACCTTAAATACTAGGAACAAAGTCTAAATGATTGCTGAGTGTACACAGAGAAAGAGGAGACAGATGTGCAGAAACCAAAAATGAAATAAGTTTTAGGCAAATCTGACCGAACATTGCAAACCTCAGCCAGTCCTCCCAAGAAAGAATGGATTGGCACATAAACCACTGTCGGCTCTTCCTCAATTAAAACAAGGATAGTTCCCTTTTTCAAGTTAGCACAGTAAAACAAAGCCCTACCTATCTTTCTTGTGGGTCCTTTCAGCTGTCATTTTAAAAAATGTTTTAAATCACAAAATAATACTTTCATTATAAAAAATAATTTAAAAAATCAATTCTAATTCTACCTCCTAAATTTAATAGCATAATATTAGCATCTATGCTTTTTTTATTTTCCTATGTTTATATTTGTTTTTCCTAATGAGAAACCTTCTTTTGAACCCTTAACAATACCTCATGATCATCCTTCCACATTATTAAATATTCCATTTAACCAAATCCTATCACTGCATCAATTATATTTTCTCTTTTTTGGAGGCAATATCAAGGTGATCCAGTGACTTATTCCCAAGTATCTAAATCCTTCTTCAATCTCCTCCTTGCCCTAGCAGTTCTTTCCTTAAAGCTGACACTCCAAGGAAGCAAAATGTTTTGCCTCCTGAGTCCCTTGTTTGAACTGCAGTCATTTTATTTAATTGGAGGTCAAGCATCTCCCTTTTCTTTCCCCAAATCCAGCTACTCAAAGCCTTGTTTTAATTGTGAACCATATTTAATTGAGATGGTTTTTCAGAAAGTCACAAGACTGTGTGTGCCTTTGAATGTTTACTTCTGCCTCTATTAGTAAATCTTTTTTTCTGAACTTCCACATTTCAAAGAAGTTAAAAATACACCAAGATTGTAAAGCAATCATCCTTCAATTAAAAATAAATTTTAAAAAATATACTAGGAGCTTTAAAGACTACCTTCAATTAGCACCAATGAACTTTTATCCAGTCACTTAAAAGATTCACCTGATGAATGTTTATTTCAATAATGAAGAAACACTACATTGCTAGTATAGAAAGATGAAGGCATTTGGACATCTTAAATATATAAAATTGAGTCCCTTGATATACAAATGTGGTGCAGAATGATAGCAGATTAGAGCGGACCAGAGAAAAAACTCTCTCCCTCGCTCTCTTAGGTAATAAGTTTGGACCAATGGAAAAGTACACAGGCAGAATGGTCTCTTTTAAATTTTAAGTGGGTTTTATCAAGTCTCAGCAGCAGTGTTTTTCTTTGAGAATACACTGCAAAATGTCAATCGAAATCTGAGAACTATGATTCAATAGCCAAATTTGTAGTTAATTCACAGCCTTTTGGAGAAGTACCTTATGATTATGGAAGGGCTAAGTAAATACATCATTACTGTAACTGTGCTATGTAGAACACCTTCAGTAGGTCAGGCATTTTATATACTTTATTCCTAGTCTTAATGAACTCGGGAGACAAGTGAGAAAACAGAGACAGACAAAATTGAAGTGAAACACCCTTGGTCACTCAGCTAGTGTCAGAGCCAGGGTTCCTATCCAGTGCTTTCTGATACCAAAACCCAGGCTCATGGACCAACAACTATAAATAAACCACCCTCCCGGTCCCCTCAGTTTCATCTGAGACACTGATTGGACAAGCCCAGGGAGAAATATCAATCTTGTTAATAAACACTGCCAGCCCCACCTGCATCCTCAGGGTTACCTGGGGGTAAGACAGAGTCTTAAACCACATCACAGAAAACATCCGCTGGAAGTGGAAGGGAATAGAAAAAAGTCTTTCTTCTTGCTTTTGTTCAAAGTGTGTTATGCAAAATGAAACCGTAAATTGGGAAACAAGGAATAGATCTAGATGTACAGTCTGATGCCAGAATCTATCCCAAAGGCAAAGATTCTCGGTTTCCTACATTAGAAGCACTTAACAGAGCTTTTACATATACTGATTCCTAAAAGTACTCATTCTGAGTCCTGTTCTCAGAAATTCTAATTTGGTCTACAGTGAGGTCCAAGTACCAGAATTTTTTAAAAGTTCTCTAGATGATTAATGGGAAACCACTTAGAAGCACTGCCCTAGAAGAGATGTGCCCGAGAACGCAATGGCACCCCACTCCAGTACTCTTGCCTGGAAAATCCCAGGGACGGGGGAGCCTGGTGGGCTGCCTTCTATGCAGTGTACAGAGTCGGACACGAATAAAGTGACTTAGCAGCAGCAGAAGAGACGTGCATATGTTAGAGTGTGTGTGTGTGAAGCTAAATAGCAACAAGCAGTTCTTGTCTCTTCTGACATATACCTAGTAAAATCTGGAGCTCAGGGACCTAAAGGTTAGTGGGAAGGACAGACAGCTGGGCTGTGTTACCTGGGCCGTATCCTCCATGAGGCCCCGGATCTTCTCCACCACATCGTTGCGCCGGTGCTGGCGCAGGGCGCTAATTAACTGGGCCAGGCTGGCCTCGGGGCCCCGGATGGTCCAGTGCTGCAGCGCTGCGTAGGCGCGCTCGTGGTCCGCTGTGTACCCGTTGGAGAAAGCGGCCACCTCCCTCTCGCTGGCATTGCACAGAAACTGATAGATATCCTTCCACTGGCTTCCCACTTGGGCTGCTACCAGCTTCAGGATGTCAATACCTATACCAGACACAAAACAAAATAAAAAACAAATACAGAAAGGTGAGGTCTTTATAGAAGGCCATTCTAACAAACTTTAAAAAGCATGCTTTCCTATGCTCTAGTCAAGGGAATGCAGTGTCTTCTAGAAGCACTTGGCATATGCCGCCCATCCTTGGGATGTTAGCCCCACTCCTGCAAACGTCACCTCGGGAAAGTGGAACTGAAAGGAGGAGCAACCTGGAAGAATAATAAATCGCCCCTTAAAGATGATTTGAAAGCCAAACTCAAGGTACTCAAGGTGATTCCTTTATTTGCTGCTAAAAACTGGAATCAAATAAACTAGAGGCTCCCAGATTGGGGGAAAAAAAAAAAAAAGGTGACTTCATGAAATCTAAAAAAAGGTAAGCCACAGGTTCAAACTGCAGTGGAGTTAATCCAGCACTGTCTGGGTAAAGGGTGTTCAGAGTCGAGGCTATGGTGTCCAATACAAAAACTGACAAACACCCATCTGATCCAGTCCAATTCCTTCTCATGCTTTACAATACTATACTCAAAAGGCAACTTTCTCATCTATTATTATTCAGTCTCCTAAGTTGACTTGCACAGTTATAATGAAGACAACAGCAAAATGACAGTATAATAACAATAGCTATCATCTTCCAGATATTATGTGATGGCATTAGCTCCTGGAACATTTTTATAAAGTATTAACATTTCAATTGTCTGGGTTTAAAACTAAAAAACAGAAAAGTAAGATAATTTGCCCAATATCACAAAGATAGGCAGGTTGGATTTTGAACCCAACTCACAGGATACTGAGTCATTCTAGCTCACTGGTTACTTGTAAATTCGTCAGTGTGGGTCTGTAGTTCCCAGACCTGATGATCAGAGTGTAAAATGCCAAAATCAAATCCTGAGGTCTGATAACTAGGATAAGCACCTGGCATCCACCCGCTATGAAGTAGGGGCTTCCCTGCATGGCAAAATTTGGTGTCCTCCTCTATAAAGTACCATCTCTCTGCAATTATGCATTGGCTTTGCCCACATTTATCCAATATAACCCCACAATAAGGACTCTGGTAGTTACTACCACAGGTGAATGAGTCCTCTGAGTCAACACCATATCGTTCAATAGCCATACTCACATGCTCAGATACCAGAGTTATTACAGCTAACAATGTCTTGGCTAACTGTAGCTAGCAAAGATGATGTGGTATATATATATATACAGGGGAATACTACTCAGTCATAAAAAAATAAAATAGTGCCATTTGAGCAACATAGATGGACCTAGAGATTATCATACTAAGTAAGTCAGAAACAGACAAATAACATATGGTACTACTTAATATATGGTATCTAAAATATGACACAAACAAACGTAGTTACAAAAACAGATTCACAGATGTAGAAACAAACTTGTGGTTTCCAAAGGGAAAAGGGAGTGAGGGAGGAATTAATTAGGAGTTTGGGATTGGCAGATACAAACTACGATATAAAACATAGATAAGCAACAAGGTCCTACTGTATAGCATAGGGAACTATATTCAATACCTTGTAATAAACCGCAATGGAAAAGAATCTGAAAAAGAATATATATGTGCAAAACTGAATCACTTCAGCATACTCCAGAAACTACCACTACATTGTAAATCAACTATACTTCAATTTTTAAAATAAAAACCTTGAAAAAAGTCTTGAAAACATCTACGACTCAAAAAAAAAAAAAAAAAATAATGGAGTCAAGTTCCCAAGTAAAGCTTGAAGAAGAAAGCAAAGGAAAAAGTGCTTACCAGGATGGTTAACTGAATTTTTCAATTAACTAGAGGTTAGTCAGGAGGGGAAAAAAAAAAAAGAAAAAAAACGTTTTTTGCTCCAATCAGTTGTTGAAGAAAATATTTATAAAATAAACTATCCATTTTTGCCTAAGAAGAGAGCACTAAGAATTCCAGAAGTGTCCTTGTAAATCAAAGACTCTGTGGTTTGCATATCCGTGGAAACCCTTCCTCAATCACACCATGCCACTGAGGAAGATGATTTGGAAGACTGTGCGAATATCCGGAACCAACCCCCTGAAAACGGTTTCGGAAAGTATGTGCCTGGTAGCAGGCTGCTTTCTTGAAAACTGTAAAAGTGGGATACCACACTTTGAGAAATGACTGGGCTTCTCACACTATTTTCCCTGGCAGTGTGAAATACACTTGAACCCACTGCTTTTTAGTTTTCATAGCAATATTTAGCCAGATACATAGCTTTTGATTTCAAGTAAACAGACTCCTCAAAAAAAAAAAAGAATCCTACTTAAAACCCCACAGGTAACTTTCAGAAGCAAACCAGTTCTTTGTGGTTGATGTCGTCGATTCTTCCAAACACCAAAAGGCCTCTTGGTCCCTGAATCTTAATGTAGGTCAATTTGAGGAAGGCCCACAGTGTCTTGCATGGAAACATGACTGTGTTTTCTTGTACGTGGGACCTTTGCTTAAATCTTCATGATGCCAGTGACAGTGTGGCTTTGGGCAAACCACTAACTGTCATGTTCATTTCCTCATTTGTACAGTGGAGATACTCAGGACAGTCCCTGGGGATGAGCTGATTAACATTTTCTATAGAGTCGATTTATTTTTGGAAGTACCCCATCATTATAAATGCTCCATACACTGGGCACTACAACTGAAGACAAAATGCATTTCTGATGCAAACATGCAGGCTTTATGGAGTAATTACAGAGTTTAAAGGCTTACGCTTAACAATAGCTCCTTCTTCCAAAAGCCAGCATTTATACTTTTTTTTCAGCCACAAAAATTACAAAAAAAAAAAAAGAAAACATGAAGAATGGGTGCAATGAGATTTTCCTTCAACTAAGATTGACTGGAAGCTAAATTTAAGCACCATGAATCAGGTTTCACCTTATTCTTCTACTATGTAAACATGGGAGTCAACTCCTGTGAACCAGGCTGGCCCCTCCCACTGTAGAGCCGATAGACAAAGATGGCGCAGGCAACCACTGGCTCTGGAGACCCCCACCTCTCAGCCTAGCACAGGATCGCAGACCCACCACAGGAGAAGACCAGTCTGAACGAGCTCATGACTCTAGGTGTACCTTGCCCCCAGTCCCACCATCGCCACCAAAGAGAAAAGAAAAACCTGCAGCGTATTTCACAAGTACTCATTGGCCACTCACTGTTCACTGTGTTTGCTGAACTGAAAGCCCTTGTGAGATTTTAAGACGAAGAGTTTAGCAGCAAGAAAATGAAGTCAAGCCGATGGAGCACAGAATTTGATGGGATCTGAAAGTGTTCTTTGCTTAGAAAAAAAGTTTCAGGCAAAATCAATAATACAAGTATAAGAAAAGCAGTAGAATGATTAACTGAGATCACTGCCTCTGGGGAGAGGGGACTTCAAAGGTATTCACAAGGTTCAACTTCCAAAGCTGCGTGGTGGGAGAACAGGTCTTTGTATTTTATTACTGTATTTGATATTTATTTTTATATCACTACTCATTTTAAAGCTATATATGTAACATATATATATATATATATATATATATAAAACACTTCTACAGACATGCATTCATATATAACTCATATATGCACATACTATTATGTGGGATATATAAATTTTCTTTAAGTGTTCAATTTTATTGGTGAGGAATCTCATGGAGTAAGATTAGTGACCAGTTCAAGGCTGCCTAGCTAGTTAGTGGCACCTCTGCTGCGGATCATATGGAATGTGGTGTCATAGAGGAACATCATTATTCGCTTGAATTCTGCTCCTAGGACACAGTCCACATATGAATGCACTCAGGGCTGGCCATGACGTGTGTACTTCTTCCTGGCCTGTTATTACTGACCAAGCAGATGCTGGGAAAGTTTTTCTCTCAGGATACCAACTGTACTTCTTTAAACTATGGTCCCTTAAAAAAAAAAAAAAGGAAGTTTCAGCAAGCTTTTTCTGTACAGGGCGAGAGTAAATACTGAGAACTATACAGTCTCTGGTGCAGGTTCTCAATTCTGTTGTTAGGTGACAGCAGCTGTAAGCAACACAAATGAACCCATGTGCTGTAGTTCTGCCACCTCTGAGATGGTAGCAGTTTAAACTGCTTAAACCAGGATGTACGGAATGAAAACAGCGAAGAGACGAACGTGTTTAGCATAAGCTTTTTGCTGGTACTACATTCTCATCATTTAAAAGACTGAAGTATCAAATGGCAAAAAGACTTAGAAAGCACTGTGTTAAAAGAAATACACACACAAAATGAAAGTTCCTACCCCAGTGATTAACCCCACTGTGAAATGCTAGTGAAATTGAGACCAAGTCTCTGCTTGGCAGGGTGCCCTGGTCATCTGTCCATCAGAGTTCTGAGAATTTTCACTGAAGACAGTTACTATATGTTGGATTAATCTTAACTTGTTTAGCCAAACTTCTTTTTTCTTAGGTTGAAAAGCAATACAATTGTCAGCCCATGAAAGTGCTGATTGATGGGCAATGAGGTTAACTTCGCTTTTCTTGTGTTTGCAGGTCCTGGAGCTCTGGGGAATGGCAGAAGTTTCTAAAGAAATCACTGAAGGAGTCAAGTCCTATAAACAAGGGGCTGCACTAGCCAAGGGCTACATCTGAGAAGGTGGTCCTGGCTCAAGGGAAATAGCTTGTGACTTTTAAGGTGCAAGTAGTAGAAAGATCACAAACTTGCTAATCCCAAGATATGGTTTCAAACTCTGTAACTTGTTAGTTGTGTGACTTTGGGGCAAATGACTTCTAAGATTTCAGTGTCCTCATCAGTAAAATGAAATACCACTTCTTATCTCATAGGCCGGGTAAGGAGATGGATGGGGTCAAGTGTTAAAACCATAAAGCACCCTGGTACTCCTTCCTCTGTCTCTTCCACTTCTGGACGAGAGTCACTGGAGCAACGAATCTGAAAGGTAGGAGGAGTTCTACAAAGACAGAGGCTGTCAGCACCAGGATCACAGTCACTGAACGATGAAGCCAGGCTCCATCATCCCAGCCTCCTGGGTTTC